GGGTAACGGAACAGTGAGAAGGACGGACGGCTGGACGGCTGCACGGCTGGACGGGTGGAGGGACAGATGGGTGATGGACCCATGACAGATGGATGGAAGACATGACAGAGCAGCTCTGTCCTGGGCTGTGGTCCTGCCCCCATGGCTGAGCGCCAAGACCAGGCTGGAGGGACACTGACGCCTGAGCCGTGGGGACACCCTAGACAGTGAGCTGAGTGGGTCCAGGGAGGGGCCTGCTCAGTGTGGCTGGGTCCTGACCGAGTCCAGGGGTCCTGAGTGGGCCCAGGGAGGGGCCTGCTCAGTGTGGGTGGGTCCTGAGTGGGTCCAGGGGTCCTGAGTGGGTCCAGGGAGGGGCCTGCTCAGTGTGGGTGGGTCCTGAGCGGGTCCAGGGGTCCTGAGTGGGTCCAGGGAGGGGCCTGCTCAGTGTGGCTGGGTCCTGAACGAGTCCAGGGGTCCTGAGTGGGCCCAGGGAGGGGCCTGCTCAGTGTGGGTGGGTCCTGAGTGGGTCCAGGGGTCCTGAGTGGGTCCAGGGAGGGGCCTGCTCAGTGTGGGTGGGTCCTGAGCGGGTCCAGGGGTCCTGAGTGGGTCCAGGGAGGGGCCTGCTCAGTGTGGGTGGGTCCTGAGCGGGTCCAGGGGTCCTGAGTGGGTCCAGGGAGGGGCCTGCTCAGTGTGGGTGGGTCCTGACCGAGTCCAGGGGTCCTGAGTGGGTCCAGGGAGGGGCCTTCTCAGTGTGGGTGGGTCCTGAGCAGGTCCAGGGGTCCTGAGTGGGTCCAGGGAGGGGCCTGCTCAGTGTGGGTGGGTCCTGACCGAGTCCAGGGGTCCTGAGTGGGTCCAGGGAGGGGCCTGCTCAGTGTGGGTGGATCCTGAGCGGGTCCAGGGGTCCTGAGTGGGTCCAGGGGTCCTGAGTGGGTCCAGGGAGGGTCCTGCTCAGTGTGGGTGGATCCTGAGCAGGTCCAGGGGTCCTGAGTGGGTCCAGAGAGGGGCCTTCTCAGTGTGGGTGGGTCCTGAGCGGGTCCAGGGGTCCTGAGTGGGTCCAGGGAGGGGCCTGCTCAGTGTGGGTGGGTCCTGAGCGGGTCCAGGGGTCCTGAGTGGGTCCAGGGGTCCTGAGTGGGTCCAGGGAGGGGCCTTCTCAGTGTAGGTGGGTCCTGACCGAGTCCAGGGGTCCTGAGTGGGTCCAGGGAGGGGCCTGCTCAGTGTGGGTGGGTCCTGAGCAGGTCCAGGGGTCCTGAGTGGGTCCAGGGAGGGGCCTGCTCAGTGTGGGTGGGTCCTGAGCAGGTCCAGGGGTCCTGAGTGGGTCCAGGCAGGGGCCTGCTCAGTGTGGGTGGGTCCTGAGCGGGTCCAGGGGTCCTGAGTGGGTCCAGGGAGGGGCCTTCTCATTGTAGGTGGGTCCTGAGTGGGTCCAGGGAGGGGCCTGCTCAGTGTGGGTGGGTCCTGAGTGGGTCCAGGGGTCCTGAGTGGGTCCAGGGAGGGGCCTGCTCAGTGTGGGTGGGTCCTGAGTGGGTCCAGGGAGGGGCCTGCTCAGTGTGGGTGGGTCCTGAGTGGGTCCAGGGGTCCTGAGTGGGTCCAGGGAGGGGCCTGCTCAGTGTGGGTGGGTCCTGACCGAGTCCAGGGGTCCTGAGTGGGTCCAGGGAGGGGCCTGCTCAGTGTGGGTGGGTCCTGAGCGGGTCCAGGGGTCCTGAGTGGGTCCAGGGAGGGGCCTGCTCAGTGTGGGTGGGTCCTGAGTGGGTCCAGGGGTCCTGAGTGGGTCCAGGGAGGGGCCTGCTCAGTGTGGGTGGGTCCTGAGTGGGTCCAGGGAGGGGCCTGCTCAGTGTGGGTGGGTCCTGAGCGGGTCCAGGGGTCCTGAGTGGGTCCAGGGAGGGGCCTGCTCAGTGTGGGTGGGTCCTGAGTGGGTCCAGGGAGGGGCCTGCTCAGTGTGGGTGGGTCCTGAGCAGGTCCAGGGGTCCTGAGTGGGTCCAGGGAGGGGCCTGCTCAGTGTGGGTGGGTCCTGAGCGGTCGGGTCCGAGTGGCAGAGGGGCCTGCTCAGTGTGGGTGGGTCCTGAGCGGGTCCAGGGGTCCTGAGTGGGTCCAGGGAGGGGCCTTCTCAGTGTGGGTGGGTCCTGAGCGGGTCCAGGTGTCCTGAGTGGGTCCAGAGAGGGGCCTGCTCTGTGTGGGTGGGTCCTGAGCGGGTCCAGGGAGGGGCCTGCTCAGTGTGGGTGGGTCCTGAGCGGGTCCAGGGGTCCTGAGCGGGTCCAGGGGTCCTGAGTGGGTCCAGAGAGGGGCCTTCTCAGTGTAGGTGGGTCCTGAGCGGGTCCAGGTGTCCTGATTGGGTCCAGAGAGGGGCCTGCTCTGTGTGGGTGGGTCCTGAGCGGGCTTCCTTCAGTTGGCTCCATGTTGAGGGTTGGGGAGGACAATTCCTACCACCCTTGACAGCCACACATGATGCCAAAGTGGGGTCACTAAGGGCAGTGCGGTGAGCACCCCCCGTATTCCTGCTGCACCCTGGCCAGCCCCTCGCCACCCATCTCGTTGACCCTTGAATGTCTCCTGCCCTGAGACTGTCCTCCTTCCCCTGACCTGCCCTCAACCACTGTCCCTGGTGACCCACAGCCCCGAGGGTTTGCCCGCTCACCGGCCCTGCCCGCGGAGCGCGGTGCTGGGACGCCAGGTGCCTGATTTGCATGCCTGTTTAGAAATGGCAGCGGGAGTGCGCAGCAGGTGTGGGAGTGGGGGTGAAGCCGCCAACGGCTGGCGGTCCCTGAGGGTTCCAGAAGTGGGCGTAGCACACTTTCTGTGGGGATGCCCATCCTGCAGGGGGTGTGGCCCCAGAGGAGGAAGCTGTAGCTTGTCTAAGGTCACTCCCCGGCCGGCCACTTCCCTCTCGGTAGAGCTCAAGTTTACATAACCAAGTGCTTCCTCCTGATGTTTCCACGTGGGTCACGCTCCACTCCGAGCCTTGCCTGGCAGTCTGACCTCACGTGGCTGCTTCTATCACCTGGCCTCAGTCTGCTCCTCCGTAAAGTGGACATGCAGGCAGGCGCTTTCTCGGAGGATGTTGCAAACATGCCCAGGCATCCCCCAGCGCCGCCCGGAGTCCCCAGGCGTCCCCCGGCGCCCCCCGGCGTCCCCAGGGGCCCCCAGGCATCCCCCTGCGGGCCTGAGGTTGCCCATACTCTGAAACCTGAGACCAGCACTCAGACCTGTCATTTTTAGGAGCTGCAGAAGCAGACACCATGGCGTAGCTCCACAGTGCGGGTGGCGGAGAAGGGCTGCAGCAGTGGTGAGCAGGGTGGTCCCGGCTTTGGGGCAGGACCTCCTGCAGAGACCCCTGCAGCGCACCCCAGCACATGAGAGCAGCACCCTGTCTTCCACAGGGTCTTTGTGGAGAGGATAAAGGGGCCAGGTTGGCTTGGGGTCCCTCTGGCCTAGGAGGGGTCTGGATTTAACAGCACGCCAGTGAGTAGGGCAAGTGTGAGAAGACGTGTTTCCGTGGCTAAATGCTCCTTGTGCCCCTGCAGGGGGTGCGCAGGCCAGCGTCCTCTCTTGCTCTAGCTGTCACCCGTCCACCCGTCCATCTGTCCACCCGTCTACCCTTCTACCCGTCCATCCGTCTGTCTGTTTACCAGTCCATCCGGCCATTTATCACACCGTCCATCCGTCTACTAGCCTACCCGTCCACCCTTCGACCCATCCGTTCATCCACCCGTCCACCCTGCCACCCGTCCACCTGTCCGCCCACTTGCTAAGTCACTGATCCAATCATTCATTATTCATCCACTTGCTCATTTCCAAACACCTTTATTTGCAAGGCAGATTTTTATGAAGAAGGAAAGATCCTCAGCGCTGGTTCACTCCCCAGGTGGCCGCAATGGCCAGAGCTGAGCTGATCTAAAGCCAGGAGCCAGGAGCTTCTTCCAGGTCTCCCACGCAGTGCAGGGTCCCTAGGCTTTGGGCCACAAGCAGGGAGCTGGAGGGGACGGGCAGCCAGGACATGAAGCGACGCTCATGTGAGATCCCAGTACTTGCAGGTACAGGACCAGCATGCTGCTCTACTGCCAGGACCTGCAATTCATCTCTCCCCCTTCTCTTAGTCTCTCCATCCACCCACGACCCACTCGTTCCTCACCGTCCACTCGTCCACCTGCACATGTGTCCACGCGCTCCCCTCACGTGCTCATCGTCTGCCCAGTGACCCACCAACAGGGCTGAGCCTGGAGGTTCCCTCTACGGCAGTCAGGGTCCTTCCCGCAGGGGCCCTTGGGTCTTCTCGCAAGCTCACGGCACCTGTCAGCCCTGTGGGTGTCCAGCCAGCAGCAACTACCCCACCTAGTCGTGTTTGAATGCACGCAGTCCCAACCGCATCGACCATATTCACGCTCACTTATTTGCCAGAGAGGTGCTCCTGTCTGCTGCCTCACTCCCCAAACCTCCACAGGGGGCCGGGCCTGCACCCAGCAGGAGCTGGAGGCAGCGACTCCACTGGGTGCTGCTCGGGAGCAGCTCGGATGAAACGCTTGGCACTGGGGCCAGAGTCAGGAACCAGAGCTGGGCAAAGGGGTGGCCACACAGGGCCTGGAGACCTACAGAGTCTTAACTGCCAGGCCAGGCACGGGAGCGAGGCAACACCTCCCTGGTTCGCTCAGACAGATCCGGTCCCTGGGTCCGGCCCTTGGCCTGGCAGCCCTGCTTCCCAGAGACGTGACCACGGCTGGAGAAGCCTTTCTCTCCACGCCTTGTGGTTTGTCCACGGCGACCGACACAGCCGGTGGTGCAGCTTGGGAATCAGGGCAGCTGGGTCTCGCTGCAGGTCGCACACCCAGGCCAGGGGCCCCTTCTGGGGGCGCCCTGTCCGGCACCAAGAGCCCAGAGGCCGAGACTGCCCCTCCCGCCTGTGCTGCTCGAGGTGCAGCTCCTGGCCCTGTGCGCTGGCCGGGTCGCCTGTCACCTGTGTCCTGGGGCAGTCAGCATGTCCCTGTCCATCCTGTCCCACCTCTCCCACAGTCCAGCCCCAGGAGGTCACTCACCTACAGCCCAGGACGCACGGAGCCTCCGAACGCCCGCCTGGCCCCCTGCCACGGCTCTCCTTCCAGCGGCTGCTGGGCCTGCCCAGTGCCTGGCCGCAGGGGCATGGCCCCGGCAGTGGCCGGTGGGCGGGAAGGCCAATCTGCAAGTGAAGGTGTTTCGGGAACACCTCCGGGGGTCAGAGACAGGGGCGGGGCCGAGGCAGGAGGAAACGCACTGTGCAATTTCCTTTTTAAGCTATAAAAAACACACACACACACACAAGTAAGAAAAATGGCAAGAACACGCGTTTCCTGTACAGCTTACACATGGCAACATCTTACGCCTGGCGGCCAGCGCGGAAGAGGCCGACTGTCAGGGCTATGGAGAACACGCAACACTGACCTATCAGATACAGGACAAGGGCTGGACTACAGCAACTGCATGTTGGGCAACACGCTGGCCTGCACTGAGCTGCGGGTGGCGTGCTGTTCTGCGTGGAGTGTGGCCTGTTCCTCTCCGGCTGTTAGGGGCTTGCCTCTAACTGACCCTGTTGTCCTGGGCAGGGGTCAGTCCTGGGTGGGGGTCAGTCCTGGGGGATGGTTCCCGTGGTTACAGGAAGTGGGTGGACACCACAGTGACCTCAACCAGGGATCTGGCACACCCCAGTGCAGCCAAGGCCACGTACAGGCCAATGACGGACAAGGGCCAACACTCCTGTCCTATCAGGACCAAGCAGGGCTGACGCCAGCACCCATGCAGAGGGGGTAGGACACCTTTGTCTCCGCCACCCAGCTTGTTCTTCCCACTTGTGTCCTCTGCTCTCCTGTGCGTTCCCTCACGGCCCGGAAAAGGCCCAGGAACGGACTGCTCTCTGCATAATAAAGGCCTGTTTGTGCTTGGCTGGTCGGCAGATCGAACAGTGGGCAGGGGTTCCATTCTGAGCAGGGGGTACGTCCTGCGCAGGAGGTCTGTCCTGGGCAGCAGTCAGTCCTGGGCAGGGGGTCTGTCCTGAGCAGGGGTCTGTCCTGGGCAGGGGGTCCGTCCTGATCAGGGGTCTGTCCTGGGCAGGGGGTCCGTCCTGATCAGGGGTCTGTCCTGAGCAGGGGTCTGTCCTGGGCAGTGGTCAGTCCTGGGCAGGGGTCTGTCCTGGGTAGGGGTTCTGTCCTGAGCAGGGGTCTGTCCTGGGCAGTGGTCAGTCCTGGGCAGGGGTCTGTCCTGGGCAGGGGGTCTGTCCTGGGCAGGGGTCTGTCCTGGGCAGGGGGTCCATCCTGCACAGGGTGTCTTCCTGGGCAGGGGTCAGTCCTGGGCAGGAGTCTGTCCTGAGCAGTGGTCAGTCCTGGGCAGGGGTTCGTTCTGAGGGGGGGATCAGTCCTGGTTGAGGTTCCGTCCGGTTGTGGACTGTCCACAGGCCCCGACCCCGGACTTGGTGAGGGCTGTGGCAGGCTGCAGGCCTCCCAGCAGCGGTGGGTGGTCAGGGAAGCTCGGGTGCAAGGCCCTTGTGCCGGCGGTGTCAGCAGGCCAGGCAGCACATCACCCCCCTGCCCTCCAGGGTGAGAGGGACAGCCCCACGTCCCCCCGGCCCCTCTCTCCTTCACCCTCGCTGACTCCCAGCATCTTCCCGCAGCTGTCCCGTGGTCTGGTGTGGCCCACTTCCTCCTTGCCATGCATGCTGGCCCACCCAGGCCCCAGGGTCCTGTCTGCTGGAGAGAGGATGCCAACTGGCCGCACCCACCACCCTCCTCTGGTGTCGCCTGCCAGCCCAGGATGAGGAAGTGCCCCACCCAGTCACTACCACAGCCCTTATCTGACTGCGCCATCTGGGTGTGTCATTTCCAGCCTGGGTGGGTGATGGGACTTCAGCATCAGGCCAGCCCCAGGCTTCCCGTGGGCATAGGCAACACACGGGGCCCCTCCAGATAGTGGAGTTGGGACCCTGCATGGACCACAGGCTATCCACGTCAGAGGGCCAAGGTTCGAGGCCCAGTTGCCCCTCCTGGCTCCAGCTCAGAGGCTGGGTCCCTGCTGCCCTGCGGGAGAGCTGCATGGAGCCCGGGGCTCCTAGGAGCGCCGTCGCTGCAGGCACTTGGCCATGCAGGAGGCCATCTCTCTCAGCTGTCATCAACACCCACGCAGGCGTGGCATCCAGCTCTTATCTCTTTATCTCTTCCCTTTCAAACACAAAGGTTAATTTGTCAAAGAATTATTTTGTCGTTCTTGGAAAGGCAGATTTACAGAGAAGGAGAGACAGAAAGATCTTCCGTTCACTCCCCAACATGGCCATAACGGCAGGAGCTGAGCCAATCCGAAGCCAGGAGCCTCTTCCAGGTCTCCCACGCAGGTGCAGGGTCCCAAAGCTTTGGGCCGTCCTTGACTGCAGGGAGCCGGATGGGAAGTGGGGCTGCCAGGACCTGAACCAGCGCCCACGTGGGACCTGGGACTTGAGGTAATCATTAGCAAAGTGAGCCATCACGCAGCCCCCACACAGACTTGGAACGCCGGTCGGCTGCTCTAACGCACTGCCCACGGGGGACTGTTAGTCATGACCTGGGATGAGGAAGACTGCTGGGGTCCGTGCAGTGGGTGTGAAGAGAACAGCGCCCCCGTGTGGCAGGGCCCCGGGCAGCTTCCAGCTGTTAGGCAGGGCGCGGCGGAAGCCTCTGAGCACCTGGACGCTGTTTCACCCCTGGCTGCATGGACACGCAAGCACCCCACTGGGAATCCTGCAATCTATTGAGGCATTGTTTGCCACTGATGTGAGCTTGAGAGTTAATGTCACTGATAATGTCTTGGTGAGTGGGCCTTTGACAATTTACACACAGGAGCACAATTAAGCCCATGTCATTTTTGGACACCTTATTGGGTACTTAACCATTGTCTTAGAATCTGGCCCAGACATGTAGCACTCCTTCTGGGAAGGGGCTTGAAAATATCCTAAATATTAATGCAAGTGATGGGAGTGAGAGCTGAAACTGCTATGGCAATAAATATGGTTATTGTTATCTCAAAGGCTAGCCTGCCTTTGCAATTTTTAGGAGTGTGGAAAATGTAACTGTTTTAGCTGCCTTTATAATTTTTAGCTAGAAGAATTAAGGATGCTTTTATTAAATAAAAATGCTTTTGATTATTGTGTCGTTGTTTATGGGGTTATAGTCTGTAGTTGTAGGGGGATTTTATATTTGAAACTTCTGTTTCAGATTTTACGTTTTTTTCCTTGTAACCTATTTTCCCATTAAATAATGAGTAAATTGTAGAAATAGAAATGTGGTGGGCAGGTACTACTGATTAGCAGGAAATCGCATGTGCCTTGGCCTTGGAGTCCTGGCTGTCGCTCCATGGCTGCTGTTGAAGGATAGATAGTGGCTTTCTTTGAAGAATATGAATACAGTATTTTGCAGAATTATCTTTAGGGGCGCCTGCTTAGCCCTGAAGTGCAGACGGAGTGACCAAATGTCTGCGCATGCCCCCCTAGTCTAGAACAATTAGTTGCTTGTGCAGAAGCTTGTGAGGCGTCTGAGAAAATAAAAAGGACAGCTTTTTGTTGAGCTGTGAGAGTGCACCAAGGGTCACGTCTGGTCTTTATCGCTGACCCCACGCACCCTTCCTGAGCTGCGAACTCCTGGAGCTGGACTCCAGCGGCAGACCTCGACGGCAGACTGGCCACGAGTGACACGGCCCCAGCATCCCTGCGGGCCGGACCGGACACCACCCCGACCCGGCCACGATGGGCAGCTGCTGCCGGCGTCCCCTCTGCCTCTGGGCCCTGTCCTGGCCAGCTTATGTCACCCGCATGGCTCTCCATACTCCCTTCCAGACCCAGACCCGCAGACACCACCCCATGTTCAAAGTGAACAGCCCAAATGTGCCACAAGTTGCCTTCACCAAGTCAGTAGGCCAAGTGTTCACGAGTGTAGACCCGAGCTGTGGCCCTGGCCAACCCAAGGCAGGGTCCAAACCCCCACACTCCCTGGCCAAGGACCAGCCTAGCCAGGAAACTGAGTCGCCCAGTGATGGCAGGAGGGGCCTGAGGCCGAAGACCCTAAGCGTGCCCAATGTGGTGTGGGTGCAGTGACGTGCACCCCGTGACATGTGGAGCTGTGACGTGTCCCCGCGGGGTGTGGAGCTGTGACGTGTCCCCGCGGGGTGAGGAACTGTGACGTTTCCATGTGGGGTGAGGAGCTGTGACGTGTCCCCGCGGGGTGTGGAGCTGTGACGTGTCCATGTGGGGTGAGGAGCTGTGACATATCCACGGGGGGTGAGGAGCTGTGACGTATCCACGCGGGGTGAGGAGCTGTGACGTGTCCCCGCGGGGTGTGGAGCTGTGACGTGTCCCCGCGGGGTGAGGAGCTGTGACGTGTCCACGGGGGGTGAGGAGCTGTGACGTATCCACGTGGGGTGAGGGGCTGTGACGTGCCCACGCGGGGTGAGGAGCTGTGACGTATCCACGTGGGGTGAGGAGCTGTGACGTGTCCCCGCGGGGTGTGGAGCTGTGACGTGTCCATGTGGGGTGAGGAGCTGTTACGTGTCCATGTGGGGTGAGGAGCTGTGACATATCCACGTGGGGTGAGGGGCTGTGACGTGCCCACGCGGGGTGAGGAGCTGTGACGTATCCACGTGGGGTGAGGAGCTGTGACGTGTCCCCGCGGGGTGTGGAGCTGTGACGTGTCCATGTGGGGTGAGGAGCTGTTACGTGTCCATGTGGGGTGAGGAGCTGTGACATATCCACGGGGGGTGAGGAGCTGTGACGTATCCACGCGGGGTGAGGAGCTGTGACGTGTCCCCGCGGGGTGTGGAGCTGTGACGTGTCCCCGCGGGGTGTGGAGTTGTGACGTATCCACGTGGGGTGAGGGGCTGTGACGTGCCCACGCGGGGTGAGGAGCTGTGACGTATCCACGTGGGGTGAGGAGCTGTGACGTGTCTCCGCGGGGTGAGGAGCTGTGACGTGTCCATGTGGGGTGAGGAGCTGTTACGTGTCCCCGCGGGGTGTGGAGCTGTGACGTGTCCATGTGGGGTGAGGAGCTGTGACGTGTCCATGTGGGGTGAGGAGCTGTGACATATCCACGGGGGGTGAGGAGCTGTGACGTATCCACGCGGGGTGTGGAGCTGTGACGTGTCCCCGCGGGGTGTGGAGCTGTGACGTGTCCCCGCGGGGTGTGGAGTTGTGACGTATCCACGTGGGGTGAGGGGCTGTGACGTGCCCACGCGGGGTGAGGAGCTGTGACGTATCCACGCGGGGTGAGGAGCTGTGACGTGTCCCCGCGGGGTGTGGAGCTGTGACGTGTCCCCGCGGGGTGTGGAGTTGTGACGTGTCCCCGCGGGGTGAGGAGCTGTGACGTATCCACGTGGGGTGAGGAGCTGTGACGTGTCCCCGCGGGGTGAGGAGCTGTGACGTGTCCCCGCGGGGTGAGGAGCTGTGACGTATCCACGTGGGGTGAGGAGCTGTGTGTCCCCGGGT